GTGTATTTAAGGTCCGACTCTTTCATGGTTCGTAAGAGGGGTGGGTCAATTTCCAGTGCCTCCACTTGATCGCCGAGGGCCCGGATGATCTAAAGAGTGCAAACAAACGAGCCTAGAGAGCCATGTTTGTTTCGTGCTCTAACGCAAGTGTACGGTGCCAATATCTGGATCAAGCAGCTTCGATTGAACGTACTCTAGAGTTCCCGCTGTTGCCGTCGGCGACGTAAATCTCGCCGTCTAGGGAAACGGCGACAGCACGCGGGTTGTTCAGTTCTATGTCCGCTGCAGACACACGGCCGTATGCACATAACCGCCAAAAGGTTTTGATTAGGATTTCTGTTCATCGGACAAGCAGGCGTTCGCTTGAGCTCAAAACGAATGGGGGCGTGACTCATTGCAGTATTTCTGTTGATTATCCTATCCACGAAACAGTCGATGGACGCCTCCATCTGGGATCGAAGCATCGTCTTGTGAAGTTCTGGAATAAATAGCAGCATGAAACTAAATATTTACACCGAGGCACAACTCGCTGGCACCGGCTGCAGCTGCTCGTTAAATCGGTATCCCCGCACGTATGCGGACCTACCTGTGGCTCCTTGTCCTACAACATCCGTTTTTGTTTGGGTCCGTATGTTAATGGACGATACTTTGTTCGCAGCTGCTTCAGCAACATAAAGTGTCGCGCCATCGAGAGAAAGGCACAATCCCGCCGGGGAGGACAAGCCGCTTACGAGATCACTTTCAGTTTTTTCGTTCAAGTTGATTGCCACGACCTTGCCAGCAGCTGTAGGGCAAGAAGGCGGACAAGTTAGTGAACGAACAGAAGTCTAAATACACGTTTCGAGCTCATCACGGTGAAGGCGACGTGGATTGATTGCACTGATGGTTGTTCACAGCCGGCTATTCCGGGAGTAGACCACTAACCAAGCCCTGCATCGTGTAGATCCACCCACCAGACTGCGACACATAAAGCGTATTTCCATCGTCAGATACTGCTACGCCTTCTGGTTGGGTAACTCCTGTTTTAATGTCAGTAAGAACTCCTGAAAACGCAACTCAGCATAGTTTCGAGCGCCGTGTCGCCATTCTGCTTTGAAATCCTTATCCAATTGACGTTGGACGCACTTGCGCATCCGAGTGAATTTCCATGGTGCCGGCGATGTGCAACGGTTTTCATGGCCACCAAGAAACGGCTACAGAGAGCAGTCGAGCTAACAGGGTGGCGGTGCCAAGAGTTCGTGCGGTGTATATCTGTCAACCTACAGTACTGCCACAGAAAGAGCACCGATTGACAAGATTACCTGTGGTTAGATGAATGGTGCTGATGCGGCCACCAGTGGAGTCTACTACCACCAATTCTCCTCTTGCGATATTCATTGCTACTGCTTTTAGAGTGGTAAACGTTGCTTCTTTTGCTTGGCCTCCGGTACCAGTAGACCCAGGATCCCCAGTGCCCGCAATTGTGTCAACAAGGGAGCCTGATACACAATGTAGAATACAGGCGATTTCTGTCCACC